TGTTGTATCTTTCGATTGCGTTTTTGTGTGCAATTAGTTGAAAGCTATAAGGCACGGTTTTCATAAGACGAACTGATAATCAACTTTAAATTATGAGGAAAAAATCTGTAGTATGTGTTACTCGTCGATAAAAAAAAGGAGACAAAAAATAATAACTTTATTTTAATATGATTGTAAAGTATTTATTTAAATCTTCTGCCGCTGTTGTCATTTGTTAATCGATTTGTCAAATTTTATGCTATTCGGGTAATTATTAGAGTGAATCTTTGTTCATTTGAATTTTTATCGAAATAAAAGTTTGATTCTTTATAACTCTGCGTTCATACATAATTTTCCTAAATTTATTGAAATACATACACATCCCCAAATGTTTATTTTATCGGATGTGTGATACACTGATTATTAATCAAAGATGATATGTTAAAAATATTAATTAAATATAAGAAATTTATTTTAATATCACGTAAATAAAATATTCGTAAATATAAAATTCGTAAATAGAAAATAATCTTAAAGATTAAAAACATATATTTAAAAATTATAATTCATAATTTTTTACAACAAGATTCATGTTTCTCAATCCTTGATGGATGAAATTTTCTACTACATTTTTTACATGCAATAAGCTGAGCTTGATATTTTTCCCAATCCACTTGGAGATGATCAGATTCTAAAACAAAAGAAGAATGTTTATATATATTAAATTAGATAATAAATTGAATTATTTAAGAATATTGTAACATACCTGTAGGAATTTCTTCTTCTTTTGTACAAGTAACAGACATGATCGATGAATTATCATACATAACTGATTTTTCAGAAATATTACAAGATATTATTTTACTATTGTCACAAACTGGTGTTCGAGGGATCTCACGGGTAGGCTGCATGGGATTAAAATCATTATCATTGTTCTAAAAGAATTAAAAAACCATGTTGAATAATATTATCTTAATATTATATTTTAATTGAGTGTAATACTTAATTGAGTATAATTTATTTTTATCCATTTTATAGCAATCTATATCTTTATGTTCAAATGATTTTATGATTTTGTTGTTTTATTTGATTTAATTAAATTTATTATATAATTTAATACTTGATTCTATAGATCAATTAAAAAGAAAGAATAAAAAATATTTACTTGATTAAGGCAAATATCTGTATTACAATTGCAATACTGTCCACATTGAGTATTTCTTCTTACACATCCACACTTTTTTGTAGAACATTTTGTTTTACAAGAACAATGTGGCATTACTTTTATATCTTTATTCTGTACACTTTGACTTTGTGAGCTGTTTGATACTGTCTTATTACAGTTTTCAATATCATTAAGATGTGGGTTACCACATAAACCTGTTTCCATAAACTTTAGATCTTCTAAATATCTTCTTAACTGTTTAATTTCAATTATAAGCAGTTTTACTTGTTCTTCTAAGCGTGCTATTTCCACAATTTTATCAGTGTTAATATCAGTTTGAGTTTTAGCATTCTTCTTTTTACTAAAAAAGAAACAATTCTTATCAATCAAGTTTTGCAAGAGAAAGAAAAAATAAAAGAAATCCTTACATTTGCTTCAACAATCTACAATGCCTTATATTTATTCTTTATGTATAGATAAAAAAATTGCTAAGTATTAAAAGTCATATACGAAATACTTCAGTTTCAATCAAAATTAACAAACATTACAAACATTACCAATAAAGGTTAAATCAAATTGAAATATAAATTTGAAATATTCTAAAAAAAATGAAGATAACGAATTACTTACATTATATTTTTAAGTGCTCCCGACATTTTCTTGAAAATATTGAAATTACTTAAAAGAAAATACCGTAAAACACGTTTTTATACGCTGGCTGACAGTTTAAATTTGAAGATGGACGTGCAGAGACAAAAAGAAGGAACGAAAAAGGATCACGGTTCTGATTGGTTGTTCAAATAATGTATACTTGTAGTGAAATTTTATAATTTACGTATAGTTCTCGGACGTATAGTTCTATTCTACATGTTAACAATATCTATAATTATTCTACTTCTGCTACATAGTTGCTGAAATATTACCATAAATATTACCAAAAAGGTGTAATATTTATATATTTTTTAATTAATATTTTAGTCATTTTTGTTTAACAGCAGCTATTATTATTGAAACATAAAGTACTATTGAGGATAATTTACTACTGAAGTTAAAATTAAGATTGATAGAAAAAGATTGTTTAAAAAATTATAAAATTTAAAATAACATACACAACGTATAGTATTATACATTTTTGGAAAAAATTTTATACATTCCATTTCATATCTCTTTCATAAAATAATTAAGATTTTAAAACAGCTAACGCTTCCGTGAATTTTAAACCTTCTGAGATATATGCTAAATTCTTCATGGACGCGTCTACATCTTCTTCCGCCCAAATTTCTAGCATATTTTTACATTGTTCGTACGGTGTTTGTTTCCCTTGGAAAAACGTAATCTAAAAAATGTAAAGATTGTGATTAGTAACCTTTTCTTTCTTTCCATTAGGTTAGGTTTACGTATATTATAAAATTGATCTCTACCTCCTCACTCGTGTAACCAAGCTTGGT